GTCACGGGTGCCCTAGTATTGTTGTTGATATGGCAACTACTGAGGGACTTGAGAACCCTACTGTTGACACCTCTACCGTTGAGACATCTATGGGTACTTCCACTTTTATGTTTGACCAGTATACAGTGCCTACTAGCACAGTTGCATTACCAGCATTACCGGGCATGATCTCTCAAAAAGTTACGGCACAATTGTTGAATGGTCGTAACTTCGCTGAGTGGTCACGCTCATTCCAGCTTTTCTTAGGCCGTGTAGGGAAGCTTGGTTGGCTGACTGGATCTCACCCAAAGCCAGCTGATGCCGACCCTGGATATTCTGCGTGGTTCTCTGAAAACTGTGCCATTCTTGGATGGTTATTTGGCTCAATGGAGCCCTCTGTTTGCAGGATCCACCAGTTTCATAGCTCTATTCCGAAGCTATGGAGCGCATTATCAGAGATGTATTCTCAGTCAGGACGAGGAGTTCGTGTTTATGAGCTTTCTCAGGAGCTCTCATATGCTCGGCAGGGAGATATGGCCGTTCAGGATTATTATGGCTATTTGACCCAGCGCTGGCTTGAGTATGAGTCTCTACGTCCTCTTGCTGCTATTCCGAAGATAGAGCCCGAGGGAGCAGCATTCTTGCATACTCGAGAGCAGGAGGATAGGATTCACAAGTTCCTTATGGGGCTTCGTGATGAGTTTGAGGGACCTCGTTTTCAGATCTTGTCGATGTTGACACTTCCTTCTCTTTATGAAGTGTATGGGATGATTGAGCAGCATGAGCGTCGAGTCCGTATTGCATCACTTCCAGTTGCAGCTTTGACTCCTTCGATTGACCAGATGGCCCTTGCAGCTGCTGTAGGGTCCCGTTCAGGATCCTTAGTCAGGGATGGGCAACGCTCAGACCAGCGCCGTCAGGGCGCCCCAGATCAGCGCAGACGGGGGGATTCCCGTCAATGTGATTATTGTGGCCGACCAGGACATCTCAGGGCTACTTGCTGGAAGCTCCATCCAGAGCTTAAGCCACCTTCTCGCAGCCGTACTGTTGCTATTGCTGAGGTACCACCGCCCACTACCGCCATTCCTGCTACTGCTCCTCCTTGGCAAAGTGATATGGATGCTATCACTTCCCGATTAGATATACTTATGTCTGTTCTGACTTCTCAGAGTCTGACTACTGCTGCTGTCACCACTACAGGTATATCTCGTGCCTTTCACGCTTGTGCCAGTTCATCTCCCCTTTGGATGTTGGACTCGGGTGCGAATGGTCACATGACAGATGAGGCCCATCACTTCACCACTTTTGACGAGCCGTTACATACACAGGTTCAGTTAGCAGATGGAACACATGCCCCTATTGTTAGTAGGGGTACAGTCCGTCTCCCAGATAGCCTTACATTACATTCGGTTTTTCATGCGTCAAAGTTGGCCATGAATCTATTATTTGTACATCAGTTAGCCAGAGATTTTTACTGTGCGGTTGTATTCTTATCTGATTCGTGTTATTTGCAGGACCTGAGTACCAGGAGGATTATTATCAAGGGACATGAGAAAGATGGACTGTATTATCTTGGCAATCCATCTCCAGTTTCACCAATTCCTTCACCTGCACCTGCTTTGTCTTTTTCTGTTCCTAGCTTGCATGCTAGTATTTTACCTAGTAGTTGTCGTTATGATTTTTCGTCACAAACTGTTCAATTGTGGCATGACCGTTTTGGACATACAAATTTTAAATATTTATGTATGTTGTTTCCTGCTTTGAGTAATGCTTGTGTTGGTGGTAAACTTGATTGCGTTATCTGTTCCCTATCAAAACATGTTAGGGCCAATTATATTCCTCGCATGCACCAGTCACCCAAGCCATTTGACCTAATACACTCTGATATTTGGGGACCCTCTCCCGTTACTGCTCTGTCAGGTGCCAGATATTATGTGACATTTATAGATGATCATACCCGTTGTACTTGGGTCTACCTTTTACATAGGAAGTCTGATGTGCTCCCTATAATCACTCAGTTTTTACAGATGATTAAGACACAATTCGATGTCATTGTTCGTGCTCTTCGTTCGGATAATGCCAAAGAATATGTGTCTGATGCTTTAGTGTCTCACCTTTCTTCTCAGGGTATCCTTCAGCAACTCACTTGTCCATATACTCCTGAGCAAAATGGTGTTGCTGAGAGGAAAAATAGGAGTTTGATAGGGATGGTACGTTGTCTGCTTAGAGGCATGAGGGTACCAAAATCTTATTGGCATTTTGCTGTTTTGACTTCTACCTTTCTGTGCAATCGTACGCCGAGTCGTGTTCTTCAGCATAAGGCTCCCTTACAGGTCTTATTTCCTGAGCGGACACTTTTTCCGGTCCCCCCTCGTGTTTTTGGATGCACATGTTTTGTTCAGGATCGGTCTCCTACTCGTCATAAACTTGATGATAAAGCGATTCGTTGTATCTTTGTGGGCTATTGTCATCAATCTAAGGGGTATCGATGTTATGATCCTATTAGGCGTCGTATGTATCACAGTCTAGATGTTACCTTTCTTGAGCATATTCCTTATTTTCCTTTCAGTCCTTTGTCTGCCCCTCCAGTTGATGATACTCCCTTTGATTTTCCATTACCACAAGAGTCAGAGTCATTGATCACTATCCCTACAGGGTCATCCGTTTTTCCTCCAAAGGAGTCACTCATCCCTGTCAGTACAGAGTTACCAGTCTCTCTTCCTTTGCAGGTATATGCTCGTCGTCCTCGCTCTCATCACCCTGCTGATATCCCCTCTACTTCAGGCGATGCAGGTAATACTTCTTAGTTTGTTGAGCATATTGATGCACCTGTTGTTAGTACTGATGAGATTACAGGTGCTGACCCAGTTACTTTACCTGATAAGATATTATCAGTAGAGGATGGTGATTTAGGGCGTCGTTATCCAAGGCGTGATCGCCGTCCAGTTGATCGATATGGTTGGACCGCCAAGATTTTATATCCGATCTCTGCTTATGTTTCTTATGGTAATCTGTCTCCCACATTTCGAGCTTATACTATGGCCTTATCAGATACGCTGGTTCCTCGCTCTATTTCAGAAGCTATGCGGGAGCCCCAGTGGGTTCTTGCCATGCAGACAGAGATGGACGCTCTTCAGCGTAATCATACATGGGATCTTGTCTCCTTACCTTCAGGGGTGAAGCCTGTTGGCTGTCGCTGGGTTTACACCCTGAAGTTTCTGGCAGATGGTACTATTGATCGTTACAAGGCTAGACTTGTGGCGAAGGGCTTTACTCAGGTACCAGGTCGTGATTTTGGTGCTACATTTGCCCCCGTGGCAAAATTGACTACTGTTCGGTTAATTATTTCTCTGGCTGCGGAGTACTCTTGGCCTCTTCATCAATTAGATGTGAAGAATGCGTTTCTTCACGGTGATCTGGACGAGATTATTTATATGGATGCACCACCGGGCTTTCGTGGTGAGGGGGAGTATGCTGGAAAGGTATGTCGACTGCGTAAGTCTCTTTATGGACTGAAACAGTCGCCACGAGCCTGGTTCTCTCGCTTCAGTGATGTAGTCATACGATTGGGGTTCACCAGGTGTCATTCTAATCATACCTGCTTTATTCGACGGAATACTTCTGGACAGTGTGTCATCCTTCTGGTATATGTTGATGATATTATTATTACTGGTGATGATGTTTCTGGGACTGCGCAGGTCAAGATAGACCTTGGAAAGGCCTTCGATGTGAAGGATCTTGGATTTCTGCGATACTTTCTTGGGATTGAGGTTGCCCGTAGAAGCAGAGGTATTGTTCTTTTTCAGAGAAAGTATGTTTTGGATCTTCTTTCAGACACTGGAATGTTGGGGTGCAAACCGGCATTATCACCTATGATTCCAAACCTGAAGCTTACTGCTGAAGGTGAGGAGTTGAAAGATCCGACAGTTTATCAAAGATTGGTAGGTAGACTTATCTACTTAGCCAATACTAGGCCGGACATTTCATTCGCTGTCAGCCGAGTTAGTCAGTTCATGCATAGGCCATGTCAGCCTCATCTTGATGCAGTTTATCATATTCTTCGATACCTCAAGTCTTGTCCTGGACTTGGGTTGTTTTATGCATCAGGATCTCAGACCGGTTCTCTAGCCTGTTATTCAGATTCAGATTATGGGGGAGCATGTGATGGTCGATCTACTACGGGTTTCTGTGCTTTTCGAGGGACTCATCTTATCTCTTGGAAGAGCAAGAAGCAGGCAGTTGTCTCCCGCTCGTCCGCAGAGGCAGAGTATCGGGCATTGGCACTTGGCACATGTGAGATTATTTGGCTACGATCGATTCTTGACGAGTTGGGTTTTTCAGTGACCTCTCCATCCACATTATATTGTGATAATCAATCTGTTATTCAGCTCACTTCTGACTCTGTACTACATGAGAGAACGAAGCATATAGAGATCGATGTTCACTTTCTTCGAGAGAAGGTCAGTAGTGGTCTTGTTACTCTATCGTTTGTGGGGACCAGTGATCAAGTTGTGGATGTTTTTACCAAACCTGTCACTCTGTCTATTCTTCGGGACTCTGTTGTCAAGCTTGGCTTAGTTGACATTTTTGCGCCTAGCTTGAGGGGGAGTGTTGGAGTATAGATAGTCTAGGTTTATTAGGATTTGTTTTCCCTTTTTTACCCTTACTAAGATTTTTATATTTTGCCTAAACTACAAGGATGTTTAAGTCACTCTGTATTATTTTTGGATATATATACGGGACTCTACTCTTAATTTGAGTATCCCTTTTCCACTTACAACTCTTCCAAGTCGGACACAATGATTTTGATCTTAGTTTTCTTTTGGGATTAGATTGTTGTTTATTTCTGTTGGGATTAGATTGTTGTTTACTATAAGGTTTGAACAAGGTTTTGGTGTTCTGTTGACTCTGATTTTTCCTTCTTGAAATGGTATTATTTTATCTGAAGATCTGCGGAGAGTGATGTGGCAGGATTTTTTTTTTTTTCGTTTGTTTAATGTTTACTTGCTTGTTCTTGCAAAATGGGTCAATTATTCCAGTTGAATTTCACTCTTTGCCGTACTTTGCATCCATTATTACCAATAACACACCATTAATTTTGATCTCGAAGACGATTGTCCTCTATCTATTTGTTTTTCATTCAGTCGTTTGTGGCTGCAAAAGCTTTAGTACTATAATTTAGTTATCCAGGTTTCAATGGGTGGCCAAATGCAGAGCTAGAGTTTCATTTTAGTAAGCTCAATTCATTCTTAATAATTGATCTGTAGTTGGTAAGACGTGTCTTCTGATTCTTAAATTACAAATTGAGTTTTCATCATCTTAAATAGATTGTCTGTACTTATATTCATTCAATTAGAAGATCATAATTACTTTTGGTTTGATCAGTTTTTCATTTAGCTCGGAAACATTGTTGACATTAATGGCTGTATATACCACTGTTTGCTGTAAGTTCTTACATGGTTTGTTTGGCCTGAAGAGATGAGCTGTTTCAACCAATATTTTTGCAGGATGGGGAACAAATGAGGCCTTGATAATTGAGATTTTGGCTCATAGGAATGCAGCGCAGCGCAAGCTGATTCGGGAAACTTATGCTGCAACTTACGGAGAAGATCTCCTGAAAGACCTGGACAAAGAACTTTCAAGTGACTTTGAGGTCAGTTTGAGACATACAATTTCTTTGTCTGGAATATTGGCTACCGTGACAATTCCATGTAGCAGAATAGTTATTTAGTCGAGAAGGCCTTGATATGTTGCTGTTAGGGCTTCTTAACTTTCCTTTATCATCTTTGAATAGCTTTTAGTTATTTGAAAGGAAGATTAGGAAGCTTTTACCTATCCCATGCTAACAATCTTGTACTTGCTTTTTGTGTATGTATGTATTTTTACTCCACAGCGAGCAGTGCTGCTATGGACACTGGATCCATCTGAGCGCGATTCTTTCTTGGCTAACGAAGCTACAAAGAAGTTGACTGCAAGCAATTGGGTTATCATGGAAATTGCTTGCACCAGGTCTTCATATGACCTCTTTAAGGTGAGACAAGCCTATCATGCTCGTTATAAGAAATCCCTTGAAGAAGATGTTGCATATCACACAAAAGGGGACTTCCGTAAGGTACAACCATAACCTTCCTGGTCATTAGGGATTTGATGTTTACATTTTTAAGTACCTCTTATTGTACTTATATTCTTTGCTAAAAATAAATATGCCCACTTCGCTAAAATGAATGATCTTTCTATACAATGAAGTTTCAAATATGAAGCGAGTTTTCAAGAAACTATTGAGTTTTAGCAAGAGTAGCTCTCCAGGATCGTGTCAGTTGGTTGCAAGGTCCGAAAGAGAACGTTCATCTAGGGGGATGGTGCCCGTTGGTACTGGATTCAGAGGATTAGTGTGCACTTGAGGCAACATTCACTGGAAAACCAAATTTTGAACGCCTATAAGCATTATCAACTAAAGATGGAGGGAGAATTATATTTACATATTAATCTTCATCTTTGGATAATGGATATCTGATAAAATACATGACCTATAAAATTAAAACATTAAGTGTCTATCCAATTGACAGAACTCATACTTTCCAAGATGGTGCTTGGCTTCTGATAACATGAAGCAATGGAAGTACTCTTTGACAGGAAACTGGGACACATGGCCATAAAAACCAGTATATGAGGACTTAACAGCCTCTTATCTAAACATGCTTGCATTTCCTATTTTTAATTGCTAAAAGTAGTATTCCATTGTGGTGATTGCAAACCATGCATTAGCTGGTCATTTACTTCAGTTTTAATTTCCAAACAGCTTTTGGTTCCTCTTGTGAGTGCTTTTCGGTATGAAGGAGATGATTTAAACATGACCCTGGCAAAATCAGAGGCTAAGATACTTCATGAGAAGATCTCTGACAAGGCGTACAGTGACGAGGAGCTCATCAGGATTCTGACAACAAGGAGTAAAACGCAGCTCAATGCAACACTCAATCACTATAACAATCATTTCGGAAATGCTGTAAACAAGGTACTACTTTTGAGACTTCTATCAGCATTTCAAGCCAGTTCTACGTTTATGCAGATATAAACTCTAGGCAAATCATGCTAGTACAAAAACTCCCAACATTTAAAAAATTTGAATTCTGAAAAAAAAATCCTACCTGTAGATGCTCTCTGATCACGCAAGGATCTGGGCAGTAGCAATTTCAAAGGAGAGTGACTTGTAATGAATTTATTATTAGGACTTTTGTGAAATCCTAATTTTCTTTCACAAACTTGTACTCATGAGGAATTAAATTTGATTATCAGACTTCTTTCACTTAACCAATGATTGTTTTATGTATGCAGGATCTGAAAACTGATCCAGAGGATGAGTACCTGAAGTTATTGAGGGCAACAATAAAGTGCTTGACCTGCCCAGAGAAATATTTTGAGAAGGTTCTCAGATTGGCTATCAATAGGCTGGGGACAGATGAAGGAGCTCTTACTCGAGTTGTTGCTACTCGAGCTGAGGTTGACATGCATCGTATCAAAGAGGAATACCAGCGGAGGAACAGCGTCCCTCTGGATCGTGCCGTTGCTGGAGATACTTCAGGAGACTACGAGAAAATGCTTCTGGCCTTGATCGGTCATGGTGATGCTTGAGCTGCACCTCTGTCCCCCGTCGGGGTTGCAGTTTACTAGTATGCAGTGAGTTAATGTATGTTATCCTGGTTTTGTGTTACCTGCTTCTTTATGTACTTTTACTGGAGTTCCAAAAACTTATGGTTGGGAATAATAATGGTGTTTTTAAAATCAATGTATTTGGGGTTCTGCTGTTTGCTTCTAGACTCTCATTTGAAGTGATCTCGATTACTGCTGGCCATGCTTTTAGGTCATTCACAAGCACTTTTAACTAGTTTTAGGAGATACTAGAACGAAAAGATCCATTAGATAATGAACTATTGGTTCTAAGCCATCTCTGGCGATTAATCAACAATTCAAAGTGCTTTAACCAATTGGGTAGATCAAGAAAACAGCAGTAACAACTGCAGCAGGAGCTGAATATGCAATTGCAATCCAAGGTCGCATATCCAGGCGGAAATTATTGGTAATGCAGACTCTGCTCTCAGGCTGGCGGTAATGATGCATGGTAAGGTCGCTACTAACAAATGGTGGGTGCGTGGAGAATGCTATGGATTCGAGCTCCATTTCCTTCTTGACTTTTGAACACAAAAATTGCCGGTGTATGTAGTAAATGTAAACTTACCTTGGTTACACCATGGGACCGAATCCAAAACCTTTCACTTTTTACAGACACTGAGACTGAAATATATTATTCAATTTTTATACTTCAAGGTATTTTGGAATGTTTCAATATAATGTAATAGGCAGTATTTCAAAATAGGGTTAATTATAAATTATAGCCCGAAAGATAATTAGGGTCTAAAGTCTCAATTTGTACCCTCAAAAATAAAACTTTGTATCAATATGCATCCTCAAAGATAAAAAATCTCAATTTGCACACTCAAACATAGAAATTTGTATCAATGTGCACCTAAAATTAAATTGATAAATTATACCTAGATTCCCTCACATTTGTCATTTAATCATTTGAACCCCTTCACATTTAAAATATTACTCTTACATCTCATGACATTTGTGCACGTGTAACACATAACCCATTTTCGTTGATATATGTTAATATAACCGTTAAAAAAATATGATTTTATCCTAATAAAAAAATATAATTTCATATTACCCTTTATTTTGTGGGTCCGATATATTTTAAAGTTCAAAATCAAGCTTATTATTTGAATGTCTAATAAAATGTAAATATTTATATAATATTTTTTAATATCCAATGCAATATATCACTTAACGTGCAACCCTTTATTCTATTAGACATTCAAATGATAAGCTTGACTTTGAACTTTAGAGTATATTAAACCCATAAAATAAAGAGTAATATAAAATTATAATTTTTATTTGGATAAAATCATATTTTTTAACGGTTATATTAACAGATATTAACGAAAATGAGTTATGTATTATACGTGCACAAACGTCATGAGATGTAAGAATAAAATTTTAAATATGAAGGGGTACAAATGATTAAGTGACAAACATAAAGGGATCTATGTATAATTTATCAATTTAATTTTAAGTGCACATTGATACAAATTTCTATCTTTTAGGGTATAAATTGAGATTTTTGATTTTTAAGGGTATAAATTAAAATTTAAATGATCTTTTAGGATACAATTTATAATTAACCCTTCCAAATATTTCAGAACAAGTTTTTAAATTATTTTTAAAAAACCGCTGGCTTATTAGTGTTGGCCCCGATGGCAGAATGAACTGCTATTTCCTTGAGTGGGTTGGACTGGATTGGTAGAAATTGACAAATTAATGTCCTAGCCCATGGTAGACACAGGCTGCTGACTGGCAAAACACATGGGCCTTGTCTAGCTCCCACACCCTTTCATTCTTGAATGTTCTCTAACCCAAGTACCACCGTAAAACAAAGGGTTCAGAAAGACCGGTACCTCTCAAAAAATTTAATAGGATAAAAGTATATATTTTAAAATAATTGGGATAAAAATATATATACTAATAAAAAGTCATAAAAACCCTTTTACCCCTACCATAAATAGGGCATACCTAATTAAATGTGAAACTTTTAAAATTTTTTTTGAGATTTTTGTATTATTTGAATTTTAAAATTTTATATCTATCTATATATATATATATATATACACACACACACGCATAATACAATAACATGAAACAGTGACACGCTCAACAAAAAATAATAATATCAAACAGTGACACGTTTAACAAAAAAAGAGTAACATCAAACAATAACACACTCAACAAAAAATAGTAACATCAAACAGTAACACAAACATTTTTGTTGAGCGTGTCACTGTTCATGTTACTCTTTTTTTGTTGAGTGTGTCACTGTTTCATGTCATTGTATTACGTGTGTGTGTGTGTATATATATATATATAATTTTAAAATTCAAATGATACACAAATATCAAAAAGAATCTTGAAAATCTCACATTCAAGCAGGTATGCACTAGGGGTAATTATGGAATACAGTTTAGAAAGAATTTAAAAATATTTTAAAATGTATACTTATTGACAACTATTTGATGAAAAAGAGGATTTAAAGGAGGATAATTTGAAGGTGGTACTTAAAGCGAAATAAATTTTGAAAAAGGTACTCACATCCCATTATCTCTAAAACAAAACACAAAAGCGCTATGGCACCGCATTTTATTTTTTGGTACATGTACCGGAAAGTTAAAAAAACCCCATGTTGAAAATTTTACCTTAAAGAAATGGTAAGTATCACTCAAAGTAGCAGGTGGACTCAAAAGCTACTCGTAAATAAATTCAAAAAATGAGTGCAAGTCAAAAATTGATAAATTTCACCTATTTGTACAAATCTATAATAATAAATTAAAGTCTCATACTTGAGCTACTTAAATTTCTCACTTGGAAAAATAAAATAATGACCCAAATAGTTTAAATTCGACGATTTATATTACAATTTAGTATTTTAATTTTTCAATCACGATAATTAATTTAAATTTTAACTTTTTAGCCACAATAATTCATTTAAATATTAACCATTTAACTGTAATAACCTAAATTATATTATTTTAATATTTTAACCACAATAACTCATTTATATTTTAATTTTTTAATCTTTTAACTATAATAACTTATTTAAATTTTATTTTTAACCAGAATAATTCAACACACAGATTAAAAAAAAACGTTGGATGGCATGGTACCAGTACCAAATAAATCATCACTGCAATTTGTAGTATTACATTTACTGTACCAATCAATAACACTGAGCAAAATATGCTGAATTCATTTTCCTGCTTATTGCTTGACACTCCCGCCCACAGTAATGCAAATAACCAGTTTAACCCTAGAAATTGTTCTATCCCATAATCCACACGACCATCAACGCATGAATGGGCTCTCGGCAAGTAAAACACAAAACGTATACTAAATATACGATAAGAGACCGACATATCAATGCAATAAAGTGGTACAACGATTGCAGTGCAACAAACTAAACCAAGGCAATGCTGCTCTCACCACCTGGGGGCTTGCGGATGCCACCCAAATAGTCTTTGGATTCCACCTTTTCATCAGCAAATATATTACTGCCACTCATTTCCTTGAGCTTAGCCATGCTCAGAGGCTTTTCAGAACACCCTCGAGGAACATCGCCTTTGAAGATGTCATTGCCAGTCAGCTCAGCAAATTTCTGGTTATGTATCTTCCTTGCTGTCTTGATCACAGGCACTTCACCAAATTGGATATTGCTCTGACCTCCAGCAGGCTACAAATTCGTAATAAAGTTTAGCACAGGTTACATAGCTATGAACCAAATAACGAAGGCAGATTTCAAATATTCCCAACAAACTGTCTAGATAAAAGGAGATATAAATGGCAGGAATAGGAGACAATTTTTCTGTTATCCAAGGTGCGTCGAGGCATAATTTAGTCATACTAAAAAGTATAATATAAAAATTATTGTTATTTGAGGTCGTCAGAGAATGCTCAAGCACTACACAGATTTTGTGCTTCAGGACAAAAAGGTGAACAAAAAAACTACAATTTGGGCAGAGTTTAGCAACAATTTGCTTGGGGAGAAATAAAAAAATGTGTCTACATTGTAAAAGCTATGTACATCTGGTGAAAAATTGGTCATGTGAAAAGCATGAACAATCAATCATCCATTCTCCATGAGAAGATTTGGGTCCACAAAACTTAACTGAATCAAAATTTTGCCAGATTTCTTTCAGTTCCACAGTATGTGAAAAGAAATTATAATTTTAAAGGACAGAGAAAGTGTTATTTTTTTCCCTGAAGCCTCTTGAGACATTCCATGAGACCAAGGGCCATGTCCAAGTAAGTCTATAAAATCACATTTTGTAATATATACACAAAATGAAAAAATTCTTTTGAAGTTGGCTCGATAATTCAATATTTTTCCAAACCTTCAAGAAGGTACCGGCACTAAAGTAATTATCAAAACATTCCACATCCTAACCTAGATAGATATCATTCTGCAACTAAAAGAGGACAAAGATTTAAACATCATCAGTACTGCAAATGACACTTGTGGGGATGAATCTAGGTTATGAAATGAAATGAAAGCTGGAAACAAGGCACGAGTCTCAGAAGGTAACTTACATTAGAAACTTTGACAGACGTGCGTACATTTCGTGGTGCAGGTTCCCCCACATCTTTGTTTTCTTTTAATTCCAGAGAGCGTTCAGCAGCCAATGATCGAGAAGGAATTTCGGGAAGAGGGCCAAATATGTCATGTCCACTTAGTTCCTTGCACTTTGCATCTGACAGCTGCTTCTTAATCTTATCAGACTCACTTTCCAGTGTTCCACTTAATTCACGCTGCTTTGCTACCTCAGGGATAGTGATAGGCTTCTTTGGAGAAATCTTTTCGTCAGCACTGAATGAGATCTGACTTATTCCATTTGCCACTTGCTGAAAATCCAATAGCACAACTTAAGAGAAATCGCCACCACAGTGGATACCGGAATATTGATCATAGTTATATGGTATTCTAATGTATCATGAAAAAAATACCTGAACAATACGCACTGATGTTCTGTTATTAGGATTAAGATTACTGTTGCCCAATTCTTGTGCACCATCTTCACCATTAGCTGCGAATATTTTGCTGCCAGTTATTTCCTTTAATTTATACCCTGAACAAGGCTTCCTGAAAGTAACAAACAGAAAAAGGTTCAAGAAACCTGTGAAATGAGAGCCTCACAGTCATACAATGGTACAAGTACATGGAAAAAGATGCCTAATGGTATTTTGCAAGGATTCTTACTAAAGCAATTTGGTTTGGTAGAATCACAGCAGAAAAGGTGCCTAATGGTATTTTGCAAGGATTCTTACTAAAGCAATTTGGTTTAGTAGAATCACAACAGAAAAGGTGATATTGGGGCAGACACTATGCACAAGCAGCATTATAAGTCATAGTTAAGGAACACTATCTGCTTACAACAGTGTGACCCATTTGGACCATGACAATGGTGTAGAGGTTCTAACAACTCAACAATTGTCTTCACGAAAGTTAACAGGAGTTGGCTAGGTTGGTTTTGCTGGGCTGCCGTCATTTTTAATATAAGGAAGACAAGGCAGAGATATGTAAACTTGCAAATGCCCATTTCATACATTGTCAAGACAAGCCATCTCTTTCTCCCCTTCCCCTTCCTCCTTTTGAAATTTAATATATACATCACTTTTCTCTTTCAACAGATGATGGACTTTTTAGGAATATATAAGCAATTGTCATTATTTTTCCTTTCCTTTACAATTTCTACTAACTGGATTTCTTAGAAACTAGTTAATTTCTTAGATGGATTTCAACAAACTAAATTAAATTAACTTCTTAGAAACTAGATTCCATAGGGGTTCTTTTCCATGAAAAAAGGAACTATAACACTAATCCCACAAATTGTTTCCTAGTTAGGGGTTCTAGAATTCATAATTGAACTCGTAGTAGAATTCAGTAGGACTGGATTGTCACCCTCAATGTGGAGTACCATTTATTCCCCATCTGCAACCACCTTTGGTTAAGTCCCACAATTCTTTATGGTGATATATATATATTTTGTAGGATACACACTAATTTAGAGTTGTTTGTGGGGACGCATCTAGGCAGTAAACACTAACAATTATGAATTTAAGGTGGTTGCTGATGCCTGATGAAAATCCGAACCAACACATGAAAGATAAAACGTAAAACAACAGACAGTAATATAATTATGGCTATTAAGTAAACGAAGTTAGATAATAACTCACACAAGAAAACATAATGGGACCTGGCAGTTCCAAAAAAAGAGGAAAAGAAATTAGAAACAACTCAGATCAGGAAAGTACAGCACAATAATAGAATAAATTTTCCAACCACCAGTTCAAAATCAAATGATCAAATAAGCATAGAAATGCACACTACCAAAATGCCATGCTATATTTCAAAATAGCAAAAATAAGTATAAAAATAAAAGTGCATTAGAACTTTGAAGATCCAAAAGATCTGAACTTCATCTAAGCTTCATCAAAATATGAACAGAAAATGACAATGTTTGCAAAAATTCGAACTTCGGAATGAATCGACGCAATACAAACATAAAAAAATAACGAAAACAGAAATTTTATGAAACAGAAAATTCGAACAGATCTCTCTCACTCTCTCTCTCTCTGTGTAACTTTTGTTTAGACTCTCAGCTTCTTCATCGGTGATCTGACCACCAAATAGCACTTTACTGATTCCATCCGATGGCTGAAACAGAGCGGTATTTCCACAGAAAAAGGATCAAAAACTTGATAAGTCTCCGGAAATGAAGAACAAGTGTGAAAGTATGTGGCGGAAAATGACGTGCCTAGGTGAGAGCAGAGCGGCGGAGCGGGAGGCATTGGCAATAGGCGGTGGTCGGCGGATGAGGGACCTCGGACCACGTGCCAGCAGAGTCGGCGGTGAAGTGTGGGGCTTCCGATACAGGTAGTTTCTCTCTCCATTCTCCTTCGCTTCACCTCTTGTTTCCAAAGATATT